ACCGGTAGCAGTCACCGGACCTTGCCTCGCCTCGCCTCGCTTCCTCCTGCGAGAGGACCCCAGGCCCCGTGCTGCGGGTGAGGGCCACCGTTGCTCCCCGGAACGACCGATCCGCGGCGCGGGCGGGTTGGCCGGGAGGAGTTGGCGTCGTACCGGGGCGGAAAAGGGCAAGTGCTGGCACTTCCGGGTCAGCGCATTGGGTCTACCAGCAGGCCCATTAAGAGCTCGGGACCGGCTCTCTTCAGCCTTCCCGGGTCCGGTCCCTCCTCACAGCCCCTTCCCGACCCAGGCCGCCGACTTCCGGTGTAGCGCGGCCACTGTTGGTCTGCGCAGTTGGCCGAGCGGCACCGCGGCGATGGATGAGGAACCCGAACGGACCAAGCGCTGGGAAGGCGGCTACGAGCGAACCTGGTGAGCTTTCCCCTTCCCCCCTCACTTTCTGATGAACGACGAGAACGATCTCCTCTCCCTTCTGTTCAGTAACAGTCTGTTTTCCCTAGGGAAATCCTTAAAGAGGATGAATCCGGATCGCTGAAAGCCACCATCGAGGACATTCTTTTCAGGGCAAAGAGGAAAAGGTATTGTGCGTTGCCAGTTTGGTCACTTATAATTAATAATTCTGAAACTGGGTCCTCTAGGTAGTGTAAGCATGTTGGCATGCCTGCGATATATTTTCGTGTCCTTACCTCTTCAGAGCGCCAGATGTATGCTTCTTTCCTGCTACTTATTAATTTTGCCAGAAAAAATTGTGAAACTTATTTTTTATGTTAACATTGAATGTGTACAGGCTAGACACCCCAGATGTGTGCTAGCTGAAGAGGAAAGGTCTTGAGCCAATGAACCACGGTGCAGAGCACTGCAACTGCAATTTGCACTGTATGGAGAAAATCATTCAACATTTTTTAATATACAAATCCTACTTCAAGCTGGGTTTTGGCATCATGGCACCAGATTTGTATTTCAAAGTGTCAGAAAAATTGCTAGATAAAAATCTAGATTTGTTTTAGTTCAGATAATGTTGAAATAATCAAATTTGGATTAAATTTTAAAGTTCCATTAAACCTGGTAGTAAGAAGATTTTGTTTGTGTTCTGAGAGACATCAAATCTGTAATTAAATTGTCTTTTTTTAGTGTAAATCAGTGTCTGTGGTTTGTTACTGCTTTGTATTTGTTACAAGTCTTGTATTGGATTTGTTCTGGACTTTTGTTTTAGGAACCATCCATTCATTTGCATCTTACTTAAATCCTTTTGTATTTTATTAGGTTCTATGGACACCATGGACAAGTTCGACTTGGAATGGTATGTTAATGTCTTAACCCTTGTCTGTCCTGAGTTCAGAACTACTTGAATAGAGGTGGTATGCCTAATCTGAAATACATTTCTGCTGACTTTATGTGCTTGAGACAAAAGCTTGTGTTTTTCATCCTTTTTTTTTTTTTAATATTCTTTGTTCCTTGGGAATGTAAGATGGGAAGCATGAGTATTCAGAGATAGAGATTTGGCATGGCTGCTGCAGCAGGGTGTGTTTTGCAACAGCAGTCATATCATACACGCTTGCTCTGTCAATTTTTCTTCATGTGAAAAATGGGCATAATTCAAATGAGTTGTAAATAACATTACATTGAGCTATTCAGATTAAGAGATGTAGGTGCAAGTTATGCATATTTTGTAGTGATCATGAGAGGAAAAGAACAGTGAACAGTTCATTTAAATATCTGTTCTGTGAGTGATTGTCACTTATGATAATACAGATGCGTCACCTTTACATTATTGTTGATGGATCAAGAACTATGGAGGACCAAGATTTAAAACCAAACAGACTTACTTGCACATTGAAGGTATTTCTGTACTCTATGTAGTTTTCTCTTACTAATCCATGGTTTCTCTGTCAAATAATGGTGATCTGTGACTAGTTTACTTGCAAAGCCTCATCTCTCCTCTCATTCCCGCTTTTTCCCCCTCCTTGTTTCTGTTGCTTATCTGTAATTTTCCTGTATTTTGCATAGTAAAATCTGTGTGACATTGGTTTGCCTTGCATGTAAAAACTCTTTTTAAGGCCATATTGTGGAAAGACACATTATGAAAAGCATGTTGTAATTAAGCTGAAGTGCTGCCCGTAGCAAGGGATGGAAGAAGAACAAAGATGCTTTCATTGCACATCTTGAATCTTTTTTTTTCTTATGGTTGTGCTTTGATGAATTCTGATTTGAATAGATGCTAAATGGGAGTTGAATTGGATTGCTGCTTCAGACTGTGTAGGACTTGAACTGTACATTTTGTACTATGTGATCTTTAATAACATGAAGCACTGAAATGCTGGGTTTTGATGATTTTGTATGGGTTAGTGCTTTTAGTGTATCTTAAACCTCCATTTGAATCAACAGTAATCTAGAACTTGCTGAAGTAAATAAGATGTGGCTGGTTTTTGGAATTTACATTGCGTTGGTTACATGGGAGGACAGAGAATGATGAAAGGGATGGGATGAAAGGAGAATGGAAGGAAGGGCTTATTACTCCTTTTCTAAGGATACTCGATATTTTGCAAGTGACATGTACTTAATGCATATGAAATAAAACTGTATTTAGTTTTTAACTGTCTTAATTTTTCCTTATAGTTACTGGAATATTTTGTTGAAGAATACTTTGACCAAAATCCTATTAGTCAGGTATGTACAACCATACAAGAAACAAGTAACTGAAAACTATTTTAAAAGTCAGTTAGTTTTAGTTTTAACACGTATCTAGTAAACTGGTTTCAACTGATGTGTTCCTTCCCAGCCATTCCTCATCAGTCTCGTGAAATTCTTGTTTCTGCTTGAACTAATGAAAATAAGAACCCATCTATTGCCTTTTTCCTAAACATAAATTCAAACTCGGAAGATTGATTTTTTTTTTGGAAAATTGATTTTTTTTTTTTTTTTTTCCCCCAGGCACTTAGAGTTTTACAAGATTGATTTTTGCACCTTTGGCAAAAGTACAGGAGATACAGGAATGTATGTTAATTGATGCATAGTGTTGTACTGCTCTTGTTACCCTTACAAGAAGACTTGAATAGTCAAGTAATTCTGATCATATTTCTAAATGTGCTAAGAAAAGTTTTGCTTTTTTTTTTTTAATCTTCTCCAGATTGGTTTAATTGTAACCAAGAGTAAAAGAGCTGAAAAAGTGACAGAACTTTCAGGTAAAGAGGTAGTATATATTTTTTAAAAATTGGAGATCTGTTTTAATCACATTTATGTAGTCTGCCTGGATGACACTGCTGAAAGCGAAGTAGATACATAAAAATAACATAATATCTTCAATTGAAAGAGAAGTTATTGCAAGTTATGTCAAACTGAAGATTTTATTTCAAACTGTTTTGATCTAGAATTGTCATCACATGCTTCTTTGTGATAAAGGCTTATCCAGATTGCAAGTAAAATGTGTTTTGTTTTCCCTATAGTTAATTTCTCACCCTGTTTGTTAATTTTATATTTTATGTATTTGTGTGTTCTGTGAGATCTCAGATGTTAGGAAGCAGGATTTCTTTGTTTCCTGCCTTCTGTCACTAGCAATCCATGTGGCTTCAGAGATGAATGCTTATTTTTTTCTTTTTATTCATCTGTAAAAGTGAAGCAACTTTACTGAGGAGTCTGAGGATCAATCAATCCTTGAAAAGTACTTTGAGGATAACAGAGGAAACTAAACTGTGAGACAGTTCACACACATGTTAAGCTCTTAATGATATACAACAATGATTTTATTCTCTTTGGCTTCTTAAGGTTTCTAACAATTGAGTGCCTGTAAATATCTTTCTGTTAGTATATTGTTTTATTGTTTTCTACATTCTGATCAAAAGGTCAATTTCTAAGGAGAAACATGGAGTTATAAGTCACAGTTTGAAAACTGTTTTTGTACAAGTACACTTCATTAAATATACAGTTTAGATATTTCAATTCTTTTAACTTGTTATTTCCGGTGAATTGTTTTTTTTGCTTACAGGTAACTTAAAAAACCACATAGCTGCGCTGAAGAAAGCAGTGGATATGGCCTGCACTGGAGAGCCATCTCTATATAATGCTCTGAATTTGGCCATGCAGACTTTAAAGTTAGTATTGTATCATGGAGTGGTTTTGTTTTCTTAGTTTTCCATAATCAGTATAATCCTGATTGTGAATTTTTGGAGGGGCGGAGATGGTATTTTTTAAAAGTAGTATCTTGCATTGCACTGACCTGAGTCTTTAAAAGGCAGCTTTATGTCCTGTTATAATACAAACTTCTAAGAAGTTAAATATGCTAGTAGTGCAGAAGTTAATTTTCTAACACAAGATGTTTCTATTTAAACATGTGTTTCCTATAAAAAGCAACTATTTTAAAACAAAGTAGATTATTTTATATTGTGTATGAATATGGTGATGAAAGACCTTGCAATTATTTTTTACCAGAGGGCTAAGGTATGAAAGAGGGCAGAGTTATGGGTTAATAATGATAAGAGAACAGCAAAGAAATAGAATTGAGTTACAATAATCTGGTGGCAGTTTTGGCATGCTTTAGAAGGGTTGATTTTTGGGTTGGATAGATTTTTGAAACTTTTTTGTTATGAGCTATTGTGCTGGGATAAACATTTGTGGAAGACTGTTCTACCCAATAGTTATAGCTAGAAACAGTGACAGAACAAAACCAGCATCAGTGTCAAAAAATTTTTTGAATTACTGGTTGGAAGAGAGTTTTCCATTAAGAATTAAGACAGTAGTTAAAATTAGTAAATTTACACCCATAAACTGATTATTTTAAGAAGTCAGGGAGACTTACTGCAGTGCTGCTAGTTTGAAAGTGAATTTTACCTGTGAGAGTACAGGTAAGGTACTGGGATAACTTAAGCATTAGAGCAAACAATCGGGTAAAAACTACACAACCAAGTACTGCAATTTAGATACTGGACAGGTTTGGGTTTTGGAAGGTGAAATTCTGGTGCTCAAAAAAGGATCTTTTATAGTGTGTAGTTTAGGGAAATTCATGTAATGTCATCTTCTGACTTCAGTATGTTGAAGTCTTTTTGGAAACTTCAGCATACAAGTAGCTTAGTGTACAGAAGTAAATTAACTGTATAATTTCTTTAGGCACATGCCAGGACATACAAGCAGAGAGGTTTTGGTAGTCTTCAGCAGTCTGACGACATGTGATCCAGCCAACATCTATGATCTAATAAAGGTACAGAAGTGAAGTTTGACTACCTCATTGAACATCCAGGCGGTTAGACTGAAAGAGACAGTTGCAGCATCATCACAAATTAATTTTCATTTAAAACTTTGAACCTTTTTACTGTTTTCTCCTCTGCATTTGAATTTAAGTATGCTTTCTTTTCTATTTGAAGAATTTAAAAGCAGTTAAGATCAGAGTGTCTGTCATCGGCTTAAGTGCTGAAGTTCGGGTTTGTACAGTGCTTGCCCGAGAAACTGGTGGTATGTATCTGAAGTTGTGTAGTTATACTACTAATACAAGTTTAAAATCAAAATTAAATAATTTCTCTTATGTTGCACTTAAAAATGCATATTCTGTTGTGCTGACAGGTTTATGGGTTTCCTAAATCTACAAAATACAGTGTATTTAGTAAAATTATCGGCTTGTAGCTGTACCTCTGGAGAGAATAAATACATTAATATATATATTAAAACTTAGTGTTCCACATATAAAGCTATAATGATGTGAAATTTAATTATATAACATGTTAATATCAGTTACTACAGTGGTAACTCTTAGAGTATCCTTACTGCAGTGTGATGTCAGAGAAAAAGCTGTGGGTCTTTATATCTGAATAAACTTTCTGGTGTTATCAACTTTTAAACTTGTAATTTTCAGTAGCATTAACTATTATTTTTTTTTTTTAATGAACAGAGTTGAGTAATTTTTTTTTAACTTAAGTTGTTTTCTGTCATTTGGAGAATATGTTTGTATTTCTTACCTGCTCATAATCTTGAGAGTAAGGCATTTCTTTCTTTGTGACAGGAACATACCATGTTATTTTAGATGAAAGTCATTATAAGGAGCTGCTGATGCATCATGTTAGTCCTCTACCCGCCAGTTCAAGTTCCGAGTGCTCCCTTATTCGAATGGGTAGGATATAGTTTTGTCAAAGTCCTAGAACAAGAATGTCAAATCTTGTGTCTTTTTCTTTAGTTGCATCTTCTGTGTTAAAGCCATACAAATGGTTAGAGGCATAATAAAGACCTTTCACAATTGTTTTGGTTCTTTTTTTATTTTAACTTTTACTTTGCTACATAGATATTAATTTTGCTGATGTTACTCCTGCAAAGTAGTCAGACTTTAAATAAAGTTAAGAATTATTAAGACAAATTACTCGGCTGCAATTGACAACAATTAGTTGAAATTACATTGCTTGTACTGGTTGTAAATGTAATACTTAAAAATGAAATGTGAAAAACTATACTGTTTCTCCTTCTGTTTATTTTCCACTGCAGAAGACACCTATTATAAACTTAATTGATTATAAGAGCCATCTGTCTAGCCATGTAGTACCTGTTTTTTAGGAGCACCTTTGTGGTGATCTTTCAACGAATGAATTAGGAACCTTTTATTCTCCTAGGATACTTCTCAATAAATTTAAGCCTGGAATTAAGCCTGAATAGGAACTCTAATGCCATTTCATCCACCCATTTTCACAGATAAGAATGTATTTTTATGTGTAGATTTCCATACTGAAGAGACTGACTTGTTATAGGTAAAGCCTGAGCACCAATCAAAAAAAATTAACTGTCCACTTGACATAAGCTGTAAAAAATAAGTGGTAGAAAGGATGGTATCTGTTGCAGCCTCCCTAAAGTGCTGTAGTCTCATCTGTCATATGCTGTACTTGGAAAGTTAATATATGCTTGGAGTCTGCGTACAAAAATATTTTCCTTTTTAATTAGAAACCTATGTTCAAGTAAACATTCATGTAGTCCTCTTTCTGCTTTCTTGACATTGCACATCATTTTCTTTATAGCTGTTCTTCAAAAATGGGGTTCCAGTGAGCTTCACTTTATATGAAGTCTATGACAAGATTTCTTTTTTTCAAATATCGTGAAATACCTACTTGATACCTACTAAGAGTGTATTACTTCTCCTGCAGTAAGAAACAAGCAAACAAAGAAGGAAATAAGCCTTAATGTTTAGAATTATCTTTGAACTTCTCCATTGAAGTAAGAATCTAAAAGATTACTTGTATGTTTAAAATTGGTAATATTTTTCTCTTCAGGTTTTCCTCAGCATGCTATTGCTTCTGTATCTGATCAAGGTGCAAAACCATCCTTTAGCATGGCGTAAGTAAAGTTGATTATAATTCAATGAGCTGGTTAGAATTCCATGATAATGACTCATATTTAGAAAATTTGCTTTTCAGCGAAAATACTGCAAAATAACATGAAAAAAGTAATGTCCTGTGGCTTCTCAGTAGAATTTTTATTTCCATTTGCATTTCCAGTATGGGGCCGTAGTTGAGGCTTTTAGTTGTGTTGTGCAGTGATTAGAACACAAGGGTGCTACAAGGTATTAAAGTAATTAGTACCAATTTTACTTGCATTTCTTGATTCAAGTATTTTTATCACTATAAAGGTAACGGTGAGCGGTATTACCTGGAAAAAAAGTATCTTTTATCTATTTACTAATGTGACTTCAAAGGGAAGTTTAAAACAGAGGCCTCATTTGATCAGTGCAGCAGGGCATTTCTCAATGGAAGGAATCGTAGTTTTCAGGGATGACAAAGGAGT